AGAGAAGACCAAGTTGAAAGAACTGGAAGAAGAAAACCTATTTAGGAAGACGGTGATGGAAAAATATGGTAGTCTTGTGCTGTCTGACAAGTGAGAATTAAAACCAGATATCAGAATAGCAGAATAACAGAGATGCAAGGGACCTTGGAGGTCTTCTAGTCCAACCCCCTGCTCAAGCACGACACCCTGCACCATTCCAGACAAATGGCTATCCAAACTCTTCTTAAAAAGCCTCCAGTCCCACAACTTCTGGGGGCGACTCATTCCACTAATTAATTGTTCTCACTGTCGGGAAATTTCTTCTTAATCGTAGCTTGGGTCTCTTTTTGATACATTTCCATCTATTACTTCTTGTCTTACCTTCTGGTACTTTGGAGAAAAAAATTGACACCCCAGCCCCCCCTGCTTCTCTGTGAAAGCCCCTCACAGCAGGAGATCTAGTTCCCACAAGCTAATAAATAAACATCAACAAATAAGTAAACAAACGAACATGTTTTAAACTTTTTGCCTCTTTCAGAGAATGGCAGCTTCTATACAATTACTTCCAGATAATGACAGCTATTGAGAACAGTCAACAGCACTTCCAGTCACAAGCTTCTACCACTGACAAGATCTTGGACACATTTTTCGAGGTATCGATTAAAAAAATCAGCTGGATTCTCTCTGTCCCCCAAAAAGCTGCCATCCCCTAATCAAATTAATATCCTCTTTTTAAAAGATTTCTATCCTATTTTATCCTATCCTATCTATTCTTCATTTCATTCCATTCTATTCTGCATTCTATTCTAGTCTTTCGTTCTTAATTCTATTCTATTCTTTCATTCTTTATTCTATTCTATTCTCTATTTCATTCTGTTCTATTCTTTCATTCTTAATTCTGTTCTATTCTATTCTATTCTGCGTTCATTCCATTCCATTCTATTCCATGTTATTCTGCATTCTCTTCCATTCCATTCTATCGGAAGTTTATTTCTGTTTTGTTCTATCCTGGCCTGCCTTGGCCTATCCCATCCCATCCCATCCGAAGTCTATGATTGATGGATGATGCTATGGATGATGCTTATCCAGAATCCCTTCCCAATCTCTCCTTTCACTGTACTGTGGCTTAGAACGATTATATTCCTTACCCACTACTAGGGGACATTATATGACCAGTTTCATTCTTGTTGGAATTTGTCCAACATAAGTTGTCCTTGCGTTAGGTCTGGCCTATTGTCCTCTTCAACTCATTATGGGGATTTGTTTATTTTATTTATTTATTTATTTAGATTTGTCAATCTCTTACAAAATAATAGGTATAAGTATAAACATGAGTAAGAATACAGAAAATAGGTACGATTAAATGGGGACAATAGGACAGGGACGGGAGGCACGATGGTGCACTTATGCACGCCCCTTACAGACCTCTTAGGAATGGGGTGAGGTCAATAGTGCATAGTTTGAGGTTAAAGGAATGGAGGTTAGAGGGTGTAACAACAGAGTCAGTTAGTGCGTTCCAGGCATTGACCACTCTGTTGCTGAAGTTGTACTTCCTGCAATCAAGTTTGGAGCAGTTAACATTGAGTTTGTATCTATTGTATGCTCTTGTATTGTTGCGGTTGAAGCTGAAGTAGTCATTGACTGGTAGGACATTGAAGCGGATAATTTTGTGTACTACGCTTAAGTCCAACCGTAGGCGGTGTAGTTCAAGATTGTCCAAGCCCCAAATTTCAAGTCTGGTGATATCGGGTATTCTGTTGCGAGCAGAGGAGAGTAGTACTCTTCTCATGCAATACTTCTGGACTCGCTCAATTGTATTAATGTCTGATATACAGTGCAGATTCCAGGCAGATGAGCTGTATTCAAGTATTGATCTAGCAAAGGTTTTGTATGTCCTAGTTAGCAATTCAATATTTCCAGAGGAATTCAGAGTCTTTGAATGCATCCTTGAGTTTTTTTTTGTGGCTCCTCAGCGGCCAGTATTGAATATAACCACACTATGGAACACAGTGAGCAGACTAATTTCCTTATCTTCTTCTTTCAGACATCTGAAGAAGACTACTTTCCTAAATGAAACAGAGAAATCCACAATTCATCACTAGCAGGATTTTTTTTTAATGCTACCAGCAACTGCTGCAATTAAAAAGTTGGCATATCGGCTTATTTTGAAGACCTGATATTTTATGGTACAACACACTGTGTTAACGAAATCAGGTTGTGATTCTTAGTATATAGCAGTTTAAACCTAATTGCCTTGCCGGGTGTGGATAAGATAGCAGCTCCTGAGATTTGTTTCAAAGATTACAGCTTCTTTGGTTCAGAACGTCAGGCCACAAAGCTCTATTTTAATATTTTCTATATTGCTGCCAGTAAGCAATTATTCCACCTTCAGAGAAATATCTTTGCATCAATTTCAAACTGTAAAATTTAAAAACAATCTTAAAAGCAAAAGGTTTTAAATCAAGCAAGCTTGGACTGAATCTAAACTTTTTTGCATGCAAATTGTAGATGTGTAACTGATTTACGGAACCCCTTCAGAGGTGAAAATAATAAAAAGTGTTCATTACAAAGCCTTTTTCCTTCCCATTGGTCTTTATTGATAAGTTGAGGGAACCTAGAGAGTGATGTACAAGACATGAATTTTTAGTTTAGTTTAGTTTATTGTCATTGCCCCTCGTACAATGAAATTAAATGGGCCTACGTCCAAAATTAAACTAGATTTAACTATTTAAATATAATTGAAATTCAACCCTATGATTCCCAATAAAGTGAATAGATAAAGACTTGCCAAGATTTTAATAATTTCCCTTTCTAATCACATCAAAGATTGTTTGACACCACCAGGCTAAAAAACAGGAGAGGGTGAGCTCAAATCCTGCTTAGGCATGAAAGCTGGCTGGGTTTCTTTGGGCCAGTCCCCCTCTTTCAGCCTGACCCATAACGCAGTATTGTTGTTGTGGGAAAATAAGACGTAGGTTTATTTGGATATGTTCACTGCCTCCATTTATTTGTAAAAATAATTAACGTGAGATATAAACTTCGAAAAGGGCTTTTCCAAACCAGACCAGCTAGGGTGGATTAAAGAAGTAAGCCATTTTTCAGTCCTATACAGGGAATCCTTGACTTAATGACCAAAATTGAGCCCTATATTTCTTTTGCTAAGCGAGACATTTGTTAAGTGATCATTTTACTACCTTTTTTGCCACCATTGTTAAGTGAATCATGGTAGTTATTAAATTAATAACACAGCCATACAGGGAATCTGACTTTGCATGCCAGAAGGTCCCAAAAAGGGATCACATGACTTCAGGACACTGCAACAGTCATAACAGATAACAGATCATCAGAGTTGGAAGGGACCTTATAGGTCATCTAGTCCAATCCCCCCCCCCCCCATCCAAGCAGGAGACCCACACCATTTCTGACAAATGGCAGTCCAATCTCTTCTTGAAGGTCTCAAGTGATGGCACTCCGACAACTTCCAAGGGCAATTTCTGTTCCTTTGGTTGATTGTTCTCACTGTCAGAAAGTTTCGCTTTATTTCCAGGTTGAATCTCTCCTTGATCAGTTTCCATCCATTATTCCTTGTCTGGCCTTTGGGTGCTTTGGAGAATAGCTTGACCCCCTCCTCTCTGTGGCAGCCCCCCAAATATTGGAAAACTGCTATCCTGTCTCCCCTGGTCCTTCCCTTCTCTAGACTAGTCAAACCCAGTTCCTGTAACCGTTCTTCATATGCCTTAGTCTCCAGTCTCCTAATCATCCTGGTTGCTCTTCTCTGCTCTCTTTCTAGAGTCTCAACATCTTTTTTTATAGTGTGGTGACCAAATCTGGATGCAGGATTCCAGGTGTGGTCTTACTAAGCTTTATAGAGTGGTATCACTAGCTCACTTGATCTTGATTGTATCCCTCTGTTAATGCAATAAATATGAGTCAGTTGCCAAGCGTCCAAATTTTGACCACAGAGATGTTTGCAATGGTCGTAAGGGTTAAAGACCGTCATAAGTCACTTTTTTCAGTGCCGTGACTGAATGAACTGATGTAAGTCAAGGACCACCTGTATTTGTACAAACATAGCTAAGAAACACTGCTTTCTGCAAGCTTCTATCCTTTCAGAAGCAGGATGCAAACATCCGTAGCAATAGACATATATTTTATATTTTATTATAATTTTTTTAAAATGTTAAAGAAGCGCACTAAACAATCCAGCTGGATCACAGCCGTGCTAAGCGTAGGCAATTCAGTAACGTAGTTGACTCCCCAGCCTCAAAAAAGACCACAACCTGAAACTTATAGTAAAGAGAATATATACTTAATTATTCATGTACTAACTGTAGGTAGAATTGTATTTGCTCAAAGCTGGAGAAGTGAAGAGATTGCTACTGATGAAAAATGTAATTAGGAAAATATTAGAATGTGCAGAAATGAACAGATTAACATTGGCAATTAAAGAGAAGGAGCAATCTGAATATTATAAGATATGGGAACTATTTTATCTATGGTTAGAGAAAAACACAAAAGCTAGAAATATCTAATAGATTAGTGAAATAAGGAAAATATCTTAATAGAATTGAACATGGTAAGAAGAGAATTGTTATGACAGATATATATACTAATAATAAGTGAAGATCTAAACATGTTATTGTTATAGTGTGAGAGATATTATGTATATTGATAAGATAACAATGGAGAACTAATATCAATGTAATGAATGATAGTAATTTTGATTATTGCACAAGATATCTGTACCCAGACGGCATACCGTTAAATGGAAGATGAATTGTTTGTACTTATAAAGAAAAAGACCACAACTCCCTGAAGCCTATGCGCTCTCTATTGTTCTTGATCCCGCCCCCGATTCTAGTCAAGGTCCTGGATTGGTCAATATTGTTCCAATGGCTCTTGAGCGCCCCTTACCTCCTAAAAAAAAAATCGAAGTGGCGCCGTCATTGGCTGAAGGGTCGCTCTGCGGCACTGATTGGACGCGTAAGGCGCTCCGCCGCGCCTACGGTGGCCGCGCGGGGTATTCCGCAAGCGGATTCGAACGAGGAGAGAAGATGGCGTCCGAGGGACGCTCGGAGATTCCCAAGGCGGGGGAGCTGCCGTTGCCAGGATACGGAGCCTGGTCGCCCAAAGAGCTACAGGCCAAGCTGGCCGAGATCGGGGCCCCGACTCAGGGTGAGGAGGGCCACGGCGGTCTGGGATACCGCATTTGGAAGGGCCGGGGCCTGCCCCAGCTGGCCAGAGAGTCTGAGGTTGGGCCGCTCGTGGTTCAATATGTCGTGTGAACAAGGCCATCACGGGAAGCCAAACACGTGTTGGGCAGCCGAGTTAGGCTGGTTTCCAGGAAGGCGCCTCGTGGGAAAAGCCAACCTTCCCCCTCAAATGGTTCAGCGAAGACTTTAGTTGGGGGGGCTTCGAGGCCATCTAGTCCACCCCCCACCCCTTTATTCAGTGCAAGAACTTCAGACCCGAAACATTGGCCGTCTTTTTAACTTTGGCCACAGAATCCGCCAGAGGGTTTAAGACTGGATTTAGTCACCTTTTCTTTTTTAATCCAGCTATGCCTGGATCCTTCCGAAAGGATCAGGTAGACATGTTGGCAGATGCGCTTGTTGTAGGATCGTATTAAATGAGCCAGTTGGGAAGAGTCTGGATGTTGTTCGTGTGACCGTGGGGAATGCTGTGACGGTCGTTAAGTGTGAAAAACCCCCGATCATCCAGTGACACAAAAAAGGCACTTTTTTCCAGTGCCTTTGTAACTCTGATTGGTCACTAAGTGAACTGTTGTCCCTCACTGGAGGTTTTTAAGAAGAGTCTGGGAAGTCACTTGTCTGAGATAGTATAGGTTTTCCTGCTTGAGCAGGGGGCTGGACTAGAAGACCTCCAAGGTCCCTTTCTTCTATTCAACTCTGCTCTAATTTCTATTATATTATATTCTATTCATTTCTATTCTGTTTTGTATTCTATTTTCTACTAGCTCAGTACCCTTGCTTTGCTACGAAACTATGTGGTTGAGCTTAGTTTTTGGGGAGGAAAATAAGGGGGCGGGGGGAATTCTGCCTATGCCTACCAGCATCCACTGGCAAGCATCCTGTCAGTGTGTGAGAGAGTTGAGGGCTGTTTGGAAACTGAAAGAGTATTTGCTGTGTGAGCAAGAAGGAGAGAAGCAAGGAGCCTGGGCCTGGCTTAGCTCAACTGTTCTGTCCTAAAGCTGCTTGGTGCTCTGAAACTGAAACTGAACCTCCTCTCCTCTGCTTGTGTTTTGCATTTGGAAGAGATTTCTTTTCAGGTGGGGAGGGGGAGTAGAACGCCTTAGCATCAGAGCGTGTTAATAATAATAATAACATAGGAAATACTAATGCTCTGATGGTCATTTGGAAAAATCCTTTCTTAGTGAGCACCTAGAAGCTAAGAGGAAAATACGTGCCAAATTTTAAGTTTGTAGGCTTTACGGTTCTGGAGATTTTGTGATGATGTGTGAGTAGTATTTTGCTTTTATACATATAGATGTGGGTATATGCATAATTTTCCATTTATTTTTGTTTTTGCCATGTTTATGTAGTGTATATTGGAGGTGGTGACCCTTCGAGAGCTGTATGCAACAAAATTTCATTGTAATGTATGCCGATTAATGTACATCTAAAGTGACCATAAAGTGTAAGCTTGGAGTAGTTGCTGAGCACACAAAGTGCAATCACATGACCATGGTGGGCTCCGCCCATTGGAATTTGGAAACTGGGTCATAAGTACAGATAGTCCTCCAACTTACGAACACCACAGGGCCCAAAATTTATGTTGCTAAGTGAGATAGTTTTGCCCCCTTACAATCTTTCTCACCACGATTGTAAAGTGAATCATCACAATTGCTTTTTTTAAAGTATGTTTTTATTAAGTTTCTATTTTTCATCGTAAAACATAATAGTTTCAACAACATTCTTGACATCTATACAAGTTCTTATCTTTAATATCCTAACACATTGTATTTATATTTAATATTAATTAATAACTTTAACTATAATCATTATTCCTATATTCTTACATAATTTACAAATTTACATTTTACTTTCCAAAGGCTTCTTACAGTAAGATTTCTTGCCTTATTTTTTAGTTCTGTTTGCTAACCAATCATACCATTTATTCCAGATTAGGAAGTATTCAGAGTCATCTCTTTCTTTCAATTTCAGCGTTAACATATTCATTTCCGCACTTTCTGTTACTTTTTGTAATATCAGTTCTTCCTTAGGAATATTGGTAGTTTTCCATACCTGTGCGAAGGCTATTCTGGCGGTTGTTGTGATATGTAGCAATAAATATTTTATTTCTTTGGGGATTTTATCTTTAATAATTCCTAGAAGGAAGGTTTCCGGTCTGAGCTCAATCTGGTAACCAGTAATCTCTTGTAGCCAGCTTTTAATTTGAATCCAGAATGTCCTAGTCTTGGGGCATAGCCACCACATATGATAAAATGTACGGTCAACCTTCTTACATTTCCAGCATTTTGGACTTGCATCACAATTGTTAATATGGTAACATGGTTGTTAAGTGAATTTGGCTTCCCCATTGACTTTGCTTGTCAGAAGGTCACAAAAGGGGATCACACGACCTCAGTTTGCTGCAGCTGTCATAAATCTGAGTCAGATGCCAAGTGTCTGAATTTTGATCATGTGACCATGGGGATGCTACAACGGTCGTAAGTGAAAAACAGTCATAAATCGCTTTTTTCAGTGCCATTATAACTTCAAACTAAACAAACTGTTGTAAGTTGAGGACTACCTGTACCCTTTGGGGGGGGTCATTATATCGGGCTACCGTAGTGACCCAATTAGCCTATCCTGCTAAGCTCTGATGATATCTTTGGTTTTTGCTGCCACACATTCTCTTCCTGGAGAACTTCAGAATTTTTTTTCTTCTGTATGGAGAATGTTTGGAGAAGATCAATGGCGAATGATTGGCAAAGTTTAATCTCCCTTCTTGTTTCACAGCACCATCTCTGAATTATTTTATTTTTGTTCCTTTTCCAGGTAGCCGTGAAGAGCTGCTGGAAAGGCTGCAAACATATACTCTTCAGGTGAAACCTTATTTCTTGGATCAGAAAAAAGCAACAACAGGTTTTTGTATTTTTTACTGTAACTGGCTGGCAGGTCACAGAAAGGAAGTCCCAAACACCGGGGAATCTGAGTATACACAACTAGATTCTATAAACCTGGATTACTTTAGTGTAATCCACTCAGAAAGAAACGGGAATTTCGGGTGCTAAGAACATAACATTTTGGTAAAGGAGAATCTAGAAAAGGTGTATGTTATGTTAGATGGTTGTTAAAAACCCTCTGAGCAACTAAGAACAAATCCACGCAGGTTTGTAACCTTCATTTGAAATTTGATTTTTACATGCTGAAAATTTGAAAGAGAGAGAGAGAGACTTTTGGCTTCATGCAAAGAAAACAGCAGAAGCAGCAGAAGTCTTTCTTTCTCTCCCCCAAACTGCCAGAAATGAGTCTTTGTGAGACTTCTCGTGCCAGCGTAGCCTCTTGGAGCAGGATGCCTTGCAGGGTCCCAAAGACTCATTTCTGGCGGAGTTTGCAGGAGAGAAAGAAAGACTTCTGCTGCTTTCCTTGCGTGCAACCAAAAGCAGAAGAAAGAAGCTGCTTGGTGGCCAGGCCAGGCACATGGGGTGAATGGGGCAAGTCTCCCCCCTCCGCCCTTTCCCCTCCTCCCCTCACTACCTCGTGTTTGCAATGCAAGCGATGCAAGCCTTGTGTTCCTGCAAGCCATATAGGCAGCGCAGCCTTGTGTCCCCGCACAGCCTGGATTAATTGATTTGGGGGTGAAATTTCTCTGCGGACCACCAACATTTTCTCGGGGACCACCAGTGGTCCCCAGCCCACTGGTTGGTGACCACTGCTCTAAGCCATCTTAAAACCTAGATCAGGCTTTCTCAACCTTGACTTCTTGAAGATATGTGGACTTCAACCCCCAGAATTCCAGCGTTGCTGGCTGGGGAATTTGGAAGTTGAAGTCTGCACATTTTCAAGATTGAGAAACACTGTTCTAAACCATCAATTCTGCCCGAGAGAAATATTTTAGATTTCAAGTTGAAAAGGGCAAATAGTTGATTTATTCCTCCCAATTTATTTTTCTTTCATTTTTTTTTAAACAGACAGGGATTCTGCTTACCAGGCCTGTTCTGAGAGGAGACGATGGAGACAACTCAGGCCCACCTCCCTTGCCAGGACCGGTTAGTACAGAGCATCCTCAACTTACAGTGGTTCATTTAGTGACCGTTCAAAGCTACAACGGCACTGAAAAAAGTGGCTTACGACCATTTTTCACAATTACGACCTTTGCGGCATCCCTATGGTCACGTGATCAAAATTCAGAGGCTTGGCAACTGGTTCATACTTAAATTCCAAGGTCATGTGATCCCCTTTTGCAACCTTCTGACAAACAAAATCAGTAGGAAAACCTACTGATTCACTTAACAACTGGATTACTGATTTATTAACTGCAGTGATTAACAACGGTGGCAAGAGAGGTTGTAAAATTGGACAAAACTTGCTTAAATGTTTCACTTAGCAGCAGTAATGTTGGGCTCTATTGTGGTGGTAAGTCCACAACACCTGTATTGGGCCAGAATTTCTGTTGCTAAGCAAGGCCATGGTTAAGTGAGTTGTGCTAAATTTTAGTACCTTTGTGATGACCTGGAGTGTAACACAAACGTAACAAAATCCAAAACGTAAATAAATGTCCTTTAATGCCTCCAACTTGGCCCCACTGTTCAATAATTCTCAGTTGGAGATAAAACGTACTCAAAAATAGTCTTCAAAAGAAAGCAATACAGTCCGAACTTAATGAACAGATAGAGGTGAAATAAAAACCCAAAACAAACTACAATGAGGGAAATTCCACAACGGACCAGGATAAGTAATTACCAACTTCAAGCAGATTACAAGGCACAGTCTGTTCGAAGGACGCCAACCAAAATAACACACACTTTGCTTCTGGCAATGCTGTGTTGTAATCGTCTCTCTTATATACTAGTCTCCCCAGCTGCAACCAATGAGGGGGATCGTGGCCACTTCCCCTCTCATAAGCCAAATTGCTTCCTTCTCCATTCCTCCTTGTGTGTCCTAGGATGCAGAGGGGATGGGCCTCTGACTGCCCAGCCGGTCTCTGCCCTTCCCCAGCCTCCTCCACAACCTCCGGAGCCACACCTCCACTCCCTGTCAGCTGTTCCTCCTCTCCCTCAGAGTCCAACAAGGGCATGACAACCTTTTTGCCATGTTATTAAACAAATCACCGCAGTTGTTATAAATGAATCATGTAGTCATTAAACAAATCACAATCATGTAATCATGTGGGTGCTGCAGTCTTTGTAACTGCAAAGATCAATTATAAATTCCTTTTTTTAGTACCATTCTGACTTTGAAAGGTAATTAATGAGTGGTTGTAATGGCCACTTTTAAGACTCGTGGAGGTTCAATTCCCAGAATTCCACAGCCAGCATGGATTCTGGGAATCGAAGTTCCACAAGTCTTTAAAAGTTGCCAAGTTTGGACACCCCCTAATCAAGCCCCCAAATATAATTGGTTGACTTGGGCATACAAGCAGAGTATCAGGGTTCCAAGTAACATATCCATAGCAAACAAAACTCAGGCAGGTAGATTCCTCAAAGAAGTTTATTGGATATGTCATATTGGCAGAGGCTGGTGGGAAACAGACTCTGAATTTTCCCACGGTTTTCACCTAATTAAAAGTGAAAGCTTTTCACTTTCTCGGAATAATCAGTCACATGGTCCAATCAGGATATTCTCCAGTTGCTAGGTGACTCCAGTGCCCTCCTTCCGAGCACCTGCAAGAATGTCCTTGGTTTCCAAGAGAAAGTATTTTGTTTTGACTACAACACCCCAACTCTATTCCCCCCTCTCTGTCCCTCTTCTCCAGTGTGTCAGTGCTGAAGTCTCAAAATGGGCTCAGTCAGGCCAGCTTCAGGGTTGACAGAGGCTTCTGAAGCCTGCAAACCCAGGAGACGACTT